CAAGTACTATCGGACGGCGCATAGATTTTTGACTAATCAGTAAATCGGTATGTCAGTGGTACTTCAAGACATATATCTTGATAAGGCAAAATAAAAACACTAAATCATCACAATACACCAAAACACTTTTACTTTTACACTGGACGCGCGTTTCGCTAACAATGTTAGCATCATCAGCAGATGATTATAAACTAAAGTACAATCTACAAGTTGAGCGTTTATATACTCGCTCAGTGGGCACCGAGTGGGCGTGACAAAATCTAGCCAACCGAGTCAGAACCAACTGAGCGTAACAGTTAGATTTCCGCCACTAGAGTAGTAGGAACAAAGAACTTGAAGGAATTGGACCGTTGACTCTGTTCATACTATCTTTACATTTATTAATTCTGATGCTTTCATTATGCATCTAATTGCCTGTAATTTGAGACTTGTTTAATTAATTTTAAATTATTAAGATCTATACAATGTTCATTATCAACAATATGTTCGGCAACACAAGATTTATCCGGTCTACCATATCTTATCTGAGCTAAATGTTCTTTAAATCTAGTTAATATTGATCTTCTAGTTTGCCCAACATATTTCTGATAAGAATATTTACAAGAAATTTCATAAATACCGACCTTTCCAGTGGAGGTGTTTTATCCTTTGTATTGCCTAATAATTGTTGTAATTTATTATTAGCACTATACACAAGTTTATAATTGACATTCTTAAAAATTACTTTTAGACCACAGGATAACTCTCTATCAAACGGTATCGAAAAATATTTAGACGTATCTTCCTCCACTTGAAAAGTCGAATTTTCAGGAAATCATTAAGCTATACCTACGTTTTCTAATTAATTTATCAACTAGTGAAGGAGAATATCCATTACACTCAGCTACATTCCTAATGTAATCTCTTTCTATTTCATTTCTTTCGTTGGAAAGTGGGAAACTAAGTAATCTATGAACTAAGAAATTTAAACTAGCCATTTTATGTTCAACACTATGATGTGATTCATTAGGAATATATCAGCGTGTGGTATTTTTCCTATAGATATCAAATTCCACGCAATTATTAGTATTTCTAATAACTAATACATCTAGAAATGGTAATCTGTCGTTGTTCTCAATTTCATGCGTAAATTTAATGGAAGGAAAACGATTATTTAACTTAGAAATAAAATTATCTATGGTGTCTCAATGTGTGTCAAAAACAACAAAAATATCATCCACATACCTAACCCATACTCTTGGAAAATACTTAAACTGATTCTTAGCTTCCACTTCAAACCTGCTCATGAATAAATTAGCCAAAAATGGAGACAATGGATTACCCATTGCTGTACCTTCCCGCTGTTCAAAAAAGTTGTTATTAAATTGAAAACAGTTTTGTTTCATACATAACGATGTAAGCTCAATATATTCAATCACAGTTTTGTTGTCGAGACCATTTGCGTTCAGTAATTCCTTCAAATAGCCTAAAGTATGTGGAATTGGAGCACTTGGGAACAACGAAGATACATCAAAGGAGACCAAAATTTCACCTTCATGCAATGTTATATCTTTAATTTTGTTAATGAATTCAATATTATTTCTAACTGAGAAAGAAGGTTCATGATCAGGTAAATTTTCAAACTCACTTGATAACCATTTTGCCAAATTATAAGTCGGAGAACCTACAGCCGAAACAATTGGGCGCTTAGACTTGTCCGGTTTATGAATTTTTGGCAAAGCATACAATTTTGGTAATGACAGATTGGATACTTGCAATTTCCTCTTTAAAGAAAGATCAATAAGGGTGTTACATTCTTTTAGAGTTTTTTTAACGTCTGCTACCATCTTAGACAAGGGATTCTTCTTCAAATTTATGTAGGGGCTATTATCTATTAAGTTGTAACCTTATCGTAATAGTCTTTTTTATCTAATATAACAACCTTATTTCCCTTATCAGCTTTTAGATAGAAACAATCTTTGTTACGCAAACTCTTGACAATATTGTGCTCTTTGTTAGATTTTAATGAATTTCTTGAATTTCCCTCTTCATAATTTTTCTAAAAATAAGTAGTTTTTGAGTAAAGACCAGATTAAGAAAAAAATGCCAAAAATCCAAGATGGCGACGTCATTTTGACAGTGTTCCCTTAGTGGGACATATGGGGACTTTTAGTATGTTCAATCGGAATATAAAAGCTATCGATTAAGACTAGTCCCAGCTTTATATTATTTTGTTCCCAATAAAATCATAAGTGCCCCGAACTATTCATGCCATAAACTTTGGTATGACCGATATCGGAGATGGAAACTAATCTCCGTAAAACCGTCTCAGATACTGGCTTTTGTTAAAACCCTGCGGCTGTATGATGAGTTATAACTTGAGAAAGAGGGACACAATAGATCTATAAGATCGCGGTGATTAACTTCCCCCCACCCAAGCAATCTACAATCTAGTTTCATTGAAAAGATTTCCAGGCTTTTTGCCACTGAAGAAAAATACACAAAATAAAATATCCACTGATTATTGGGACACCTTGTGTTCTAAGTATTTTCACAAACTAGAAATGGCTTATTTTCGTTTAAAATATAATATCTGAAAAATTTGATTTATAAGACTTATAACCCATGCCATATCACGTGCAGCACTACACAATATTTCGTCTTAAATAAACTTAAGAATTCAATGACCACCTATCGAAAAAAATACTGATTGCATATGAATATTTAATTCGTTTTCCATTCATTAATTAACCGATAAGAACAAAGCCTTACAGATAGGCGCGTATTATTTGTTTGTTAAAAAATAATACTCTGGTAGCAAAACAAGACAAAAATTAACCTTACTTATCTGTAAAGTGATACAACCTGATTGGGTTTTATATAAAAGAAAAATTGGTGTATTGCAAACATTTACTCTAGGTTAAAAAGTCAAGATGAGGGTTTGCTTGGGGTTGGTGCTGCTGAGTGTGGCAGTTTTTGGAACTCCTGTCCACGAAACTGTCCATTATAAAACCGGTAAGTCTGTGATTTATTCTTTTGCTTTTTATATACAGAGGGTCTTAAATAAGGGTAAATATTTTCAGGGTGGTATTTTTCGACCTCAGAATCACGTCTATGATGTTTTTTTCTCGAAACTTTTTTGCAAATTCGGTATTTTTCGAAAAAAAATTTGGGTTTTTTAAAATTTTTAATTAAAAACATAATATCTCGATTTCATGACAACAAAAGGAAGTATATTAAATATAGAAAAAAGGAAACCCAGAAAAATCCAGTGGTTCTCAAAATATGAGCAAATAATCATTCTTTTACATTTTCAAAGTAAAATAACTCGGATATTTTGGACTTATTTGACAAACGGTAAAGGGAAAATATGTTTCTTTTATCGAGTTTTACCAGTCTTGAAAATATTTGCACTTATTCAATACCTTTTACATTGATAAATCGTATTTTTAGGGCTATAACAACCCAAAATATACAATGAATCATATAAACAGTGTTTTTATTTTTTTTACGAAAAAAATTAAATTATTTAACAAATTTAACATTTTTTAAAACAGTTCTTTGAAAGCTTCTAATAAATTTTATTTTTCTATTACATTTTGCAGTAAAACTTTTATAAAAATAGCTACTGTATGGTTATTTTTTTTAAATAAATAAGCTATCGATCGATAATTTTTGTCCCTAAAAATTTAAAAGAACATCATAGATACAGTAGATAGCCATGATGTTCAATAAATGCTAGTAATATTATTTTTTTCGATTTTTTTAAGTAGATCAGCACACTACTGTGTGTAAACTCTCCTCTCCTCTATTGTGTTATCGAGAACGCATCACATAAAATTTACAATTGTAACAAGTGTAGTAATTGTAAGAAATTCGCCTGTAGCTACAATTCTTGTTTAATCATATAACATATGAAAGCATTTTGTAGTCATAACACTGTTTCATTAAATTTTACTTCAACAACAGCTTTTATAAATTCATGGTCCTTTTTTAAACATCCTGATATGAACACCCATTACTCAACCAATCTTAAGCTATCTTATGTGGCCTGTGGCAGTATCAGACTATATAGTTGGAGACTTTTAGCAATAACAGTTGCAATATTTTGAGGAACCACTGCTGGTTTTAACCGAAAAATTCATTAAACTTACTGTCACTTAAAAAGAAGTCACTCGTTTTCCAAAAACGATATTCAGGAGCATCTTTGTGATCACTTACAAAAAGTAAATTAACTCATGGCTCAAAATAGGTAGATAATTGTTTAGAATTTTGTTTAAAATTTTGTAACGTAACTCTAAAAGCGCTGGATTTCTCTTAAGAAAAGATTTTATTGTAATTACAGGGCACCCACACTGTTAATTACAATTTGTTTTAAGGTACAGAATTATTAAAAGTGTAGAATTTATATCTACAAGGGCAACGGCCTAGCTACGTCGAAACACCGGTTCCCATTAGAACACCGAAGTTAAGCGACGTAAGGCGATACTAGTGGATGGACGGGTGACCAGTTCGAAACTCTGTATCGTGCTGTTGTCCAAAAAAAGGCAAAAGTGTAAAATCTATTGACACACACTGCTCATTCATGCCGGTTCGAGATCGGATATCTCGTCAGCAAGAGTCGATTGAGACACTTGCCAAGTCGGTAGGCCATTGACCATGATATGGCCGAGGACCGCGGTTCGGATTCTGCGTAAACAAAGTAGGCCCCGTCCAGAATAGCCCTGGCAGCAAAAAGGAGACGTTAACTGAAATCTTTACTTTACTTTACTTTATATCTACACTTGGTGCATTTGTAACGTTTTTGTTAAGGTGCGTTCACACCGGCTGTGCCGCTCCGCGCCCCGCCGTGCAAATCATTTTTTAACATATACTTTTGTGCGCTAAAAAAATACACTTCAAAAGTACATGCTACAAAACGCTTTGCGCGGCGCGGCGCAGCCGGTGTGAACGCACCTTTACATACGTCCCTGGTCGTACACTGAGTTATAAAATATGTAATCTATAATATTTTGTTTCAGTGGACAATGTTTTTCTCGAAAAACAGCACAAGGTTTTGACCTTATTCAAACATGTAGTACAACCTGGTCTTGTAGAAGAACATGCGGAAATTTGCAAAGGAGTTACTGATCTAGTGCAATGGCTACAAACTCACAAACCCTTATTTACTGTAAGTATATAAAAGTAAAACTTTTAAGTCTAATCTTGACTGAATTGATCTAAACTAGTTTTGTTATGTTATTAACAAAAATCAAGTATCCTGATTATGGTGTATTGTATATTTCAGAAACCTGAAGTCGTTGACACACTGATCAAATTCAGCCATTACGATTACTTATTACCAAAAGGACACATCTTCTCCATTGGAGAGGAAGAACACTTAGAGCAAGCAATCGCTGTCTTCAAAGTTCTGTATTATGCGAAAGATTTTGAAACTTTCTACCAAACAGCCGTCATTTTACACCACTTTATCAATGAAGGTAAAGCTATATTTACACTGTATCTTTTTTTATGTACATCCAGAGTGAAATCATCCAGTGTAATTATTTTTGTCTATATATTTTCATCCAGTTCTCTGTTGTACAGTATATGAACTGCCCCTATTCTTCATTTTGTGCCTTTGAAAAGGTGTAAAGACAACTTTACGGGCAGAGAAATTGAAGATCCATTTTTTAAGTTAATATCGTAGTTGTACCAGCTGGTAGGATGTTTCGTTCAAGAGGAATTTCTAAAATTGTTATGACGAATAATAACGAATAGTTTAATATTTATAATAAGATTGAAACAAACTAAAATTTAAAGCTACCTACTAGTATTGGTAATTGAGAAGTCAATTAAAAAACAAAGACAGGGCTGTTTACACTATTCATTGAGCCTTCACTCTGGATGAATTATCGGATTGGGGAACGACTCTTTCATTAAAAGTTGATCGGCACTCAAATCATCTGATCCCTCATAATTAATACTAGCGTGTACCCGCGATTTCGTTCGCGTCGAATTAATCATTTTTAATGGTGATGATAAAGCAAAGCAAGAATTTCCATTAACATACAAACTGGATAAAATTTTCTCACATTTATGTCAGCATGAGAAAAAACAATATAGCGATATTATTATATAACTTGGTAATATTTAAGGGGTAGTTTCATCTCATTGGAATTTGACTTTCAAAAAATCCGTTTGCCAAAAATAAGCTTTTTACGTCAAACAGTTTAAGCAGAATCGTGATTAATCAATTACCCAACTTTTTGGAACACCCTGTATGATTTTGTAAAGAATTTTAAAATATGTAAGAAAACAAAATAAATTATGCGTGTCCAAGCGTTTTCCCACTAACAGTTTTTTAAATAACAAATATTGTAATATTTAAGGAGCGTTTTCACCCTCTTGGAATTTGAGATTCGAGAAACCCCTTCTTATCGAACCTCTACACCCCAAAGTCAATCCGTTTGACAAAAATCAGCTATAAACGTCAAGCAGTTTAAGCAGAATCGTGATTACTCAATGGTCATATTTTATGAAACACCCTGTATACATTTTTAAAAAATCTTAAAATATGTAAAACAACAAAATAAAATATACGTATTTAAGAGTTTTTCCGAAAAACTCACCGGTTTTTAAATAAAAAATATTCTAATATTTGAGGGTTTGTTTCATTCCCTTAGGATTCGAGTTTCGAAAAATCCCTTCTTATCGAACCTCTACACCCTAAAGTCAATCCGTTTTAAACAAATCAGCTTTTTACGTCAAGCGCTTTGAGCAGGATCGTGATTAATCAATGACCAGATTTTTCGAAACACCCTGTATACATTTTTAAAAAATCTTATAATATGTGTAAAAAAAGCAAAATAAAATATACGTGTTTAAGCGTTTTTTTTCTGATACTTGACAGTTTTGTAAATAAAAAATATTGTAATATTTGAGGGGTGGTTTCACCCCCTTGGAACTGGAATTTCGAAAAGTCCCTTTTTATCGAACCTCTACACCCTAGAATCAACCTGTATGCCAAAATTGAGCTTCTTACGTTGAGTGGTTTGAGCAGGATCGTGATTAATCAGTGAGTCAGTCACTTAAGGATTTTATTGTGGACGAAACAAAAATTAGAGGCAATCTATATTTATCATTTTGGATGATTCCTCCAATATAATCATTAAAAGTGACAAACGTAAATGAGCCTTTCCGAGCATCTTAAAATCAACAAGGTCATCTTAAACTAATGTTAACTATTTTAAATCAAATTTTAGGTACGTTCTTGTATTCAGTTTCTGTCGCTGTAGTACACAGACCTGATACTTATGGAATAATCTTACCACCAATTTATGAAGTCTACCCATGGCACTTCTACAGCACCGACGCTATTCAAGAAGTCTACAAACACGCTATGGTTCATGGAACAGAAAACAGTAACGTATGTAGTTCCTCAAAAAATATTTAAATTGAAATCATTTTATTAAATAATATAATCAATAAATAGGATCGATACAGGGTGGCGCACCTCATTCGCCTCGGTTGATTATACGAAAACGGAAAGATGTAAAAACAAAATATTTTATGGGTATATGTGGGGAGGCAATGTACACAATTCAAAATTATTTTGAAATATACAGGGTGTCTCAGAACTAAGATCCATACCAAAGTTATATTTTTTCTTATGGAACACCAGTTTTTTTATTTCATTTTTGTATTCTTATGTTCAAAAAAAGGTATTTATTATAAGGGTTATATATGTTTAAAATCTTTGGTTTTTGTGTATACACCCTGTACATTGCTTTTCAGAATTAATTCTTGTGCTGAGTTTAAAGGTAGAGAAATGAACTTTACTGAAAAATTTAATAACTTCGTTTTTACATAAAAACTTCGTTATTTCAAATACAACAATCTATATTTTTTTAAATAAAACGAAGCAGATTCAAATGCTCTTTCAAACTATATTAGGGTTTCCTATACCTATCTGGCTCAGGTTTTGAATAAAAAGCGATTTTTCAATAAAATTGTAATCAAGATGGCTGGTGTCGCCATGGCAATTTTCTAGTGACTCTTAGTAGCTATTTTCAAAATCGACATTAGTTTATGGACTTTATTTAAATTTATAACAGGTTATTTTTATTTAAAAACAAGAACTACTTTTTTATTTTTCTTGATAAAATAATAAATACTTCTTAGTTATTAAACTATTGTAGGTAAATTAAATAAAAGTAAACTTTTATAAATTTAAATCAAGTCCATAAACTAATGTCGTTTTTGAAAATAGCTGCTACCTGTCACTAGCAAATTGCCATGGCGACACCGCACCAGCCATCTTAATTGCCATTTTATTGAAAAATCGCTTTTTATTCAAAATCTGAGCCAAACAGGTATAGGAAACCCTAATATAGTTTGAAAGAGCATTTAAATCTGCTTCGACCTATTTAAAAAAATACATAGTGTTGTATTTGAAATAACAAAGTTTTGATGTAAAATAGATATTTAAAATAGACCAACAATTTTTGATACCCCTGTATACATTTAAGGAAGCAATAAATTTTTTTAGTAAAGTTTATTTCTCTGGCTTCAATGTCAGCATACGAATTAACTCTTAAAAGTAATGTACAGGGTGTTAGGTTAGGTTAGACAAACTTTTTTATTGTACCATGCATATTTAAATATCTTTGAATATCTCAAAAACCAAAGCATTTAAACATATTAAACCCTTATAATAAATGCCTTATTTTATGTCTTAGAATAAAAAAATGAAATAAAATACCGGGTGTTCCATAAGAAAAAATATAAATTTGGTATGGGTCTTAGTTCTGACACACCCTGTATATTTCAAAATAATTTTAAATTATGCACATTGCCTCTCTACATATACCCATAAAAAATTTGATTCTACATCTTTCCGTTTTCGTATAATCAACCGAGGCGAATAAGGTGCGCCACCCTGTATAGAGTTGCCAATAAAAAGACACATTTTGAAAAACTGATTGATTTAACTTTACTGTCTTGTATTGAATAAAATTTGTTTTAGATGGTAACTGATACTCACGCTCACAATGCTATTCACGCTAACTACTCAGGTCATCACTTAAACTTGCATCACGAACAAACCATGTCGTATTATTTGGAGGATGTTGGTATCAATGCTTTCCATTACTATTGCCACATCCACTATCCCTACTGGATGGATGGCGAAGAATTTAAAATTAACCACGACAAACGAGGTAAAATATTTTTTGTACTACTCTCCAAAAAGGGTATCATTTTTGTGTTCTATAAGGTTCGTTCCAACCGGACCTATAATATATTTAACAAAACTTTGGTTGCACGTCATCAATGACACCATGCGTCGTCTTATGGAGTTTGCTGGGGGTCGTATTATGATGTGCAACAAAAGTTTTGTTAAATATACTATAATTTTTTCTTCTTTTATATAACAAGTACCTAATACTAATTTTATTTTTGATAGGTGAACTCACAATGAACATCATTCAAGCCCTCGTTGCCAGATACCACATGGAACGACTCTCCAATGGAAAAGGTCATATTCCCATCTTAGATTTTCACGTTCCTGTCGACGTACCTTACTATCCTTTCCTCCAGTACGTCACTGGAGAACCTTTCCCTGAAAGACCCAACCACGTTGACTTGCACGATTCTAAAGTAAACCACTTGGAAGATATTGGTACTAAGTACGAGCACAGCTTCACCAAAGTCCACCAGTGTGAAGATCGCATTAGTGAAGTTGTTGACAGCGGATATGTAATCACAGTAAGTATTTAACGATACCCTTTAGGTCGAAACTTTTGGAGTTACAATACAAAAGTTTTTTTCTCTCAGAAGAATGCTTTTATTGTTATCTTTTTTGTTGCTCAATACTACATTGAGGTGCTTCTCAAATTTGTACATTTTTATATGTCACTGGAAGTTGGAGGAGTGAACCTACCTTTAGTGCGAACATAAATGCAACTCTTACCAATGGTAAAATGTTTTGAGTGTATTATATTTCATTTGTGTAAGTATTTAATTACTTTGGATTGACCTTTATCATTTAATTTCAGGATACAGGAAAGAAATTTAATATCTATGAAGATAAACACCCTGAAAACGTTTTTGGCAATCTAATTCACGCCAATGCTGACTCCCCTCACCACAAATACTACTGTAGCTACCTAGCTTACGCCAAACACATTTTGGGATACTCCCACACCTCGGACACCTGGGAGCATGTTGTTCCTTCTGTCCTGGATCACCCCGAAACAACTTTAAGAGATCCAGCCATTTATATGGTATACAAAAAAGTACGTACCGAACTTTTTGATGTAAAATGATCATAAATTAATTAACAATGTTCGTTGTTTATAGTTACTGTCGTACCACCACGAATTCCAACATAACTTGAAACCATACACTAAGGACGAATTAGTATTCCCAGGTGTCACCATTGAAAAAGTTGAGATGGATAGATTGATCACGTACTTTGAGAACTTCTTCAGTGATGTCACTAACGCTGTGTGGACCTCCGAGGTTCAAGTAAAGAAAAACCCATCAGCCCAGGTAAGTTATCTCTATCTATAATTTATTTTATCAAACAAAGTTTTTTCCAGAAATATACATTTCAGTCTTTATATACAGGGTGAGTTTCCTACGATGTTCTCTATGGGTATTTCGGAAATTACTGGAGATAGAGAGTCGGATAAATGGGGAAAGAATTACAGTTTTGTGGGGTCATAAATATGCGCCTTTGAGATTTTTGAAAAAGTTCATGGCTTGCTAGATATTTCGAAGAAAAGAAATTTTGGCTGTTTTAAAAATTGTCCCTAATTCCATTATAATCTATTTTAGACAAAAAGTTTTCAGATAAAAGTTGTAGATAATCACATCCTTAATGAAATTGTGTTCTCCGTTTTTTTTTTCTAAAGCTTGTCATTTAAGATTTAGTTTGTGTAATGTAAATTGTAAAGAACCCTTTAATAATATATTCTGACTTTTTATAAGTGATAAATCACAACAGAATAAAAGAATACCAATCTAAGTGAAATTAATCAAGAAAGATAAGAATTGGCTATAACTAAATTTTACTGTTATGTCTTGAAAACCGTTCTCTAAAAAACGTAACATTCACCTGTCGACGTATCCTCGAAAAGTATGGTCAAGAAAAGTTGAACCAATAATCCTATACGTTTTTCTTCATTTGAAAAATTCATATTTACAATTTTTATTTATTTTAATTTACAAAGTTTGGATGTGACAGCTTCACATATCTGAGAGCAACGGCGATTGAACTTGTTTCCATGGCTAACTAAGTGAAATTGTTTAAAAATGATAAGAATTAGCTATAACTCAGTCATTTCTAAAAAAACATATTATAGCGTACATCGCTGAAAAGCTTAAAAAATGGCGCTCTTTTTGACGTCATGGCCCACTATGGTTTCCATTTATAAAAACATATGTTTGTGTAATATGTCAAAAATGACAAGCTTTAGAAAAAAAACTTTTATCTGAAAACTTTTTGTCTAAAATGGATTATAATGGAATTAGGGACAATTTTTAAAATAGCCGAAATTTGTTTTTTTCGAAATATCTAGTAAGCCATGAACTTTTTCAAAAATCTGAAAGACGCATATTTATGACCCCACAAAACTGCAATTCTTTCCCCATTTAACCGACTCTCTATCTCCAATAGTTTTCGAGATACCCATAGAGAACATCGTAGGAAACTCACCCTGAATAATAAATACAACTAGTTTTTAAAATGTGTCTTGAATTTCTAGGTATGGATTATTCAACAACGTCTCAATCACAAACCGTTCACCTATAAAATTCACGTGAACTCCAACCAAGACACCCAAGCTGTTGTTAAAGTTTTCCTTGGACCAAAACACGACGAATATGGCAAACCCATCAATATTAGCGTAAACAGGTATAGTTTTTTGAATTTTACATCTAGTAACTCTGTTTTTTTATTTGTTTTATTAATTTTAGAGTTAACTTTGTTCCAATTGATTCGTTCAAATGGCATTTGCAAGTAGGACAAAATGTGATCAAGCGTAGCTCTCATGAGACCATGTTCTTTGCTGCTGATAAAACGTCATATCCAGTTCTGACCAAGAAGGTTACCGAGGCCTATAAAGGTGCTGGAAAATTCCATGTTACAGGAAAAGACAATTATTTCTATTTCCCTGATAGGTTAGTATATAATTAAATTAACACAAAACAATTAGTGGGGCTATTTATCAAAATATGAAGTTGAACAGAATATAACGTACATTTATTGCATTACAAAAAGCTTTTAAACAGTAAAAACAGTTCCCAGAAATGTGTCACATTTTCTAATTATCTTATTTTTTACATTTATTTACACATATTTCTTCATACAGATACATGCTACCCAAAGGTACAGTTGGTGGTGTACCCTACCAATTCTATTTCGTTGTCATTCCCTACAAACCCTACCAAGGCCAAACTGAAGAAACCACTTTCTTCTATCCTCATCCTGGTACCGGTGGAGGATACGTCGACGACACCTCAACCTATTTCCCATTAGACCGACCAATTAAATTTGAGGAAATGTTTGTCCACGAAGTACCAAACTCGTACTTCTACGACACCAAGGTGTACCACAGGACCATCGAAGAAGCTCAAGTACCCCAAACGCAGCAACCTTATTAGATTGGGGTGGATTAGTTATTTTAATTTTGTTTTTTAACGTAGATTATTTAATAGTTTTGTTAATTTAATTTAAATACCGGTGAATAAAATGTAAAAGTTTTGGAAGAAGATTGTATTTTATTGATGGGACTGTAAAAGCACTGACCTTATTCACTTGTTTCACCTGTGAGAAATTTGGGACCACTCATGGTCTGCAATATCTGACTTCATTGTTTCACCTCTTGTAGTATGTTTTTTATGTTCGTTAAGTCGTTAAGTACATTTAGAGGACGTTTTGTCTCTTCAATATACGACTCACCGAACCTTTCCCTTGTTTTGACGATCCCGATTTTGTTTTTGTTAGGACACTTCTTACAGCAGTCCTAGACTTAAAAAGAGTTTTAATTTTATACTGTTTAACTCTCGGCGTATCTTTTTTGACGTTTCTTTCAAATGAAACCGTCAAGAACATCTTTCTCAGACACCGCAACAATGAGTCAGTTTTCTAATTATTGTACGTCAGTCTTCTAATCTTTAAGAGGGACTTCGCAGAGCATTTATTCTAAAGCAAATCCGTTTTAATATTACTTAGTTCAAAATTGGTCACTACATAATAATATTCTAATTGCTCGATGACATCATGTTTTAACTATACCTATTTTGGTTGCTTCAGAATGGTTACTTCTGAAATGAAATTTTAAATAATGGAACGTTTTGGTGTAGGTTTTCTATACCGGGTGCGTCTCAAAAGTGGCTCATCCCTATAACTTTTTTATTTTTCCAGATAAAAAAGAAGATTTGGTATGTTTGTATATGACATAAATTAGGATTGATTGACGTATTCAATTGTTTTTGGTCACTTCCTGTTTCACCGGAAATAACTACAACTTTTGATTTTTAAATGGCACCATCCGTATTTTTTTACTTTATTCTAAAGATAATAACACTCCGAATAGAATTACATATGGTGTAAATGAAATTATAACTTGCGGTTCGTAACGAAAATTTGACTCGAAATACCAAGTGTGTGGTATCAAATTATTCATAAAAAATGCTTTTTCCAAATGTGCTAATGAGCCACTCTCGTTTCATTTGAAAAAACTGAGATATGATTAAAAATTCGATTTGAGCATTTTCTAACTGGCCAGGACAAGACACTAAAAACACTAATAACATATAATATGCTATTCTATTCAGAATGACATTTTCTATCTAATAAAGTAAAAAAAATATCGAGGGTGCCATTTGAAAATCAAAATTTGTATTCATTTCCGGTGAAACAGGAAGTAACCAAAAACAATTGAATATGTTAATCAATCCTAATTTATGTCATATACTAACATGCAAAATCTCGTTTTTTTTTATCAGAAGAAGTAAAAAAGTTATAGGGGTGAGCCACTTTTGAGACGCACCCGGTATACAGGGTAAGCCTTAAATAAGTGCAAATAATTTCAGGGCTGGTAGATCTCGATAAAAGAAACATATTTTCTCTTTACCGTTTTTAAAATTAAGTTCAAAATAACCGAGACATTTTATTTTGAAAATAAAAAAAATATATTTTTCACTTACATTTTGAGATACTGGATCTTTTACTGGATCTTTTCTGTTTTTTTCTTATAAAATTTAATATACTACCTATGATACCACATTATGAAGATATTACGTTTTTTAACTTTTTAAAAAAATCCCAAATTTTTTTTCAAAAAATTCCAAATGTTCAAAAAAATCTTTTTGCAAGAAAAACTTCATGTTTGACGTGTTTCTGGGATCTAAGCATACCACCATTAAAAAAATTGCACTTATTTAAGACTCACCCTGGATATACATGTCCTAATGAACATCTAGAAGCTCACAAGAACCTCTAGAAACGGCAGATAGAGGTTTTGCTCTTTCTCAATCGTAAGTCTGACGTGAAGGTGTCGTCAACATATTGAAGCAAGACTTCTAGTGTTTTTTTGGTTATGTCTATTTTAGATAAGTTTGTTTATAACTGATAAATGAAGAGCCGATGTATTTGTAATTTTATCTCCCATACATCTCCCATGTATGGGAGAGGGAAAGTTAATCACCGCGACCAGAAAAATATTTTGTGTCCCCCTTTATTGAGTTATATCTTATAATACAGTCTCACCAGTATCTGAGACGGTTTTACAGAGGTAACCCCTCCATCTACAATAGCACAATCGTACTAAAATTTATGGCACGAATGAGTGCTCGGTGCACTCAGCGATGAGAACACCTGGTGTTCTGGTGTTTCCTCGTCATCTCCACAGAATTTGCATTCGCCGTTGTTTCTTAGCTTCAGACTACTGAGGTGTTTATTGAAAAGACAGTGTCCTGTTAAAAACCCCGTGAAATTCCAAACATTGTTCTTACTTAAACCAAGGAAAATCTTTGATTTTTCTCAGTCATAAGAGACATTTCATCGAGTATCTACCGTTAAATGATTCCCATTCCAAATTACGAATGGAATCTTCCAGGTTTTTGAGTTTTGCTTTAAGTTTGTTTCCACTAAGTGTATTGCGAGAGTATTGGAGTCATGGTAGCGCTCTCCATTATAGTGGACAGCAAACTGCAGGAGGATTGGGCGTTAGATACAGATACGACGGCGGTCTGTTCAACATAAAAAGACTCAGGGCAAAAACACGTACAAAATTCATCACAGAACTTCAATACGCTGACGACTGCGCTCTAGTTGCAAACACGGTACAACAATTACAAGAAATGTTGCACACATATACCTGGGCATACGAGGCTTTGGGCCTTAAGCTAAACATCGACAAAACTAAAATCATTAACACTCCCCTGGAAGATCACAACAATGCTATAAAAATTGAAGAAGAACTATTGGAATATGTGGCGGAATTCAATTATCTTGGCAGTTTGATTTCGGAAAAGGCCAATATTGATTCTGAAATTCAGCACAGGATTAGTACTGGAAATTAAAAGACAGGGTTTTCTACAATCATGACTTGAGTACAAAAACAAAACTTGCAGTGTACCGAGCAATTATAATCCCCACCATGTTATATGGGAGTGAAACCTGGGTGCCGTACCGCCGACACATGAATGCATTAAACAAGTTGCAACAGAGGCACCTTAGACAACTCTTAAGAATCCGGTGGTTCCATCATGTCCCAAACGTATCGGTCCTTGAAAAAGCTAACTGCGAGAGTATTGGAGTCATGGTTACAAAATCCCGCTTAAGATGGGCTGGTCACGTATGCAGAATGTAAGAAAACCGCATACCAAAATCTCTGCTCTACGGTGAGCTTGTAGACGGTAAGAGGAGGCCGGGTGGACAACTGAAAAGGTACAAGGACATTTTCCACAAAAACTTAAAGGGGATTAACATGCAGAATGAGTGGGAAACAGCAGCTAACAATAGAACTCAATGGAGAAGAGTTGTAAACTCAGTTAACAGCGACAACCAAAAAATAAAGAGGCACCAAAGCAATGAGATTTTTGAATGTCCGGAGTGCGGTAGGCGGATAACATCACGTATCGGGCTTTTCAGTCACAGAAAAGCTCTTGAAAGAAAACGCCTTGCGTGACCATTTTCTTTATGTGTGTCGAATACTCGTCAGCGAGTAACGGCTGTATGTATGTATGTATGTTTCCACTAAGGAAGCAGAACGGTTCTGGTCCAGTTAGTAGAGTGTATGCTCCTTTTCTAGCTAGATTGTTTAATATTTCATTACCTTCTATCCCTTTGTGAGGCGGCACCCAATGTAGGAGCACTTTATTTTCTTTGCTTAATTTATTTGGCAATGTCTAGCTAAGTGTTATAAAGAAATATTTTGTTTTTAGTGTGGTAAAGATACACACATTCTAAACCATTACTTGAACATAAACTTGTCAGTGCTTTTCCAAATTTCCTCTTTTTCCATCGAAACTATCTTTTAGAAGCCGGCGCACCAGAAGTCCATCTGCGACCATCCCTTCAGATCGATGTTCGGCTGGTTGCCTACGGGGTGTCTTTGCGCGCCGAGAGGCTTCATTCCACGCGAACCATCCCTTCGGTCAGTGCGTCCGTATCGGGGCGATTTCCGGTGAAAATATACGCGTTGCGCGCGGAAACTTTGCGAAAATCTCGTGCGTTTACCGGTCGCTTTCGGAAAAGCCGGAAAAACATTTTAGAACTTTCTCACGGTTGTTTTACGATTTTAAACTTCAGATTATGAATACCGTGTGAATTAAGATACTTTATGAGCAAGTTACCAAAATATTAGATTGGCAAAAAATACTTTTTTGGTGTGAAGGTTTGACTAAGAGTGTTCCTGTGGTGAAAGTAAGTTTAGAAGCTTTCTGCTTTTATTTTTTTAAATGCTTAAATGATGAGCTTTTTCATACGTTCTTGGAGAATAATCAGATATATACTTAGTAGGATAGTTTTATTATAAAAATTATTTTACAGAAACCCGTAAAGTTAGGGGGTTTATAAAACTAGAAACTTGGGAAGCTTATAAAATAGTTATTATTGTAGTTTTATTAAAAAAGGTGCTCTTAAATGCAATGTCGTGTCATGTCAAATGATTTTTTTAAAATATTAATCGAAAATACGATAGATAACCTAGTTCTAGTTGATGAATAAAAAAACTTTACAAAATAGTGGGTGTCCAGCAAATCTATAAAATGGTGGAACTATTTACCAAGACTGAGGCAGACGAAATAGTTTAAAAGAACACTTGCTAAAATTTACGGTAGTCCTGATCAAAGACAAGGAAACTGTCAGAACTGTAGTCGGTCATTAATAGGGCATTGCAAGGTCAATACGCGTTTAAAGCTGACGGGATTGACGGACAAAGCCATGATCAGAAGAATTAACGTCTCAACATATTATGGCAGGCAAATTGCGTTTTTTTGTAGTAGGCAATGATAAGACAAAGAGCTAAATGAAAGATTTAGTATCCAAGTTAATATACTTTTTGAAAAGGATACGAGTTGAGAATGTATCGTAGAGATAAAAAAAAGTAAAGTATTTTGAGTTAATGTCTCCTTTTTATTGCTAAGGCAAATCCGGATGAGTCTCACTCTGTAGTTGTCTCATCCTGTATAAAATACTTTTTTTAAAAGCTTCATTCAGAATCTCCTAATTAGTGGAATAAATTGGTGGTTTCAATTAGTAT